ACAGGACTTCAGCACTGGAGATGCTTTTTGTTTTAAGCACTCAACCATTTCTTTAAGACTCCCTAATATTGCATTTTGAGATTTAACACAACAATAGGAAAAGCTTTCCACCAAAAGAAGGAATGAAAATTAAGCATTGCATCAATCTGTCATGCCAAGCATATCAGAAGAGCACAACAATGCATTATCTGAGCAGCCAGTGCTGTCTGTACTAAAAACAAAATCTGTTCAAGAAATCTGTAACTCATTAGCATAGAGGTTCAAAGTTGCTTGATGAGCATATTTTCCTTTGTAACAGTTTGTAGAACTGTCTGCATTTCTGCATTTCATCAGATTATTCTACGCTGAAGCTCTTGAAACAGTATGAGCACCGCACTTCTTCTTTAGGCTGCCATAACGAGCTGCACTTTCAAGCATCCTGTTCTGGAGCCAGTACATCTCCCAGTTATAGCTCTGATTAAAAACTTAACATCATCACAAAACTATTTTGTTAGTATTTTGTTAAAAGACATGGGAGTACGAAGAAGTGCTACTTCTACCAAATCAGTTCCCAATATTCTAGACAGATACAGAGCTAGGGCTCCAAGACAGAAATAAAATAAAATTATGAAGAAAACTGTTTCCTTTTGGATAGTAAGTACACAGGAAACTCATTTGGTTTACATTAATTTGCTACATATTGCTCACACGTGTACAGTTCCATTAATTCCAGCTGGTTACATGGGTCTCTGAAGAATTCTTTTGTCAGAACAAAAGTTCAGAATGCACCCACTCTCTAAAATCCTTCGACAAATAATCACAGAACAGTGTGGGTAGAAGGGGACCCTAAAGACGCCAGTTCCAACCTCCTACCATGAGCATGGATGCCTCCCACCAGTCCAGCTTGGCCAAAGCCCCAACCAAGACTGTGGGAAGGCAGAGAGGTGCATCTTTAAAACAAGTGGGTTTGGACTTCTCAGAACTGGTCAGTAATAGAAAAGAGGACTGTTATATTAAGTGCATTCCTTTTGCAGTGAACCCACCAGGAACATGCATTTTCCTGAGAAGAGCTGCTAAGTAAAAAGACAAAACCAAATTTAAAAGAGAGGAACCACCTCTCCAGTCAGTTCTGTAGAGAATTAGCACTAGGACTCACACGCCCTGCAAAATTAATCATACTAAGAATGCCTCAGCTAAATAGGAATAAAATACAAATTAAAAGAAATAATTAAAAAAAAAAACTCATCAACGAAATAACAGATGTGAAATGTGAGTGTAAAATATGTAACACCTAGCAAAGAAAATGATCTGATAATATCATTTGTTAGACAAAACTGTGGCAACTTTGAATGATATGCTACCTTAATATAAGTTAATACCAGCTGCTCATTCAGAAGAAATACAATCTCCTACACATTGAAACTCTGAAAGTTGACAAAGACAGAAAGAAAAAAAAACCAAGCAATTACTTTACATAACAGTTCAATTGAATTTGTGATGAAACTGTGGCAAATGCAATAAGAAGTCAAAATACAGAAGAACACAATGACAAGAAACTTCAGTTTTGTGACAGTGGCATGTTTAGCTACTGAATCAGCAAGAAAAACTGGAACCAGCACAGAAATTCAGTTCTTACTCAAAACTTTTTAGCAAGGTCTATTTCTAGCAGCAGGATAACCTGTTAGAGACACAGGCACTGAATCATATTTCAGTTTTCCATCAGATGAACAAACTCGTACGTGTGAGGAAGCTTGCCTGAGTGGTTGGTTTCTTTTTAATTTTACTTCTAAGCGTAAAAAATCTGCCTGAAATGTTTGTCCAATAATATTGCCCCTCCAAAGAGGAAAAAAAGTATTCCAACATTCTGGCTACATACACAAAAACACATGAAGCACAGCCATATGTACCTCGAATCTGGGGGCATGTTCTACCACACATTTGTTATGCAATTTTCACATAGTCATAACGACGTTAAATCAAAGCCAACTGATGTCAGTGCTAAAACTCTCAGAAGCCCCACAGCGAAGCATCTTTACATTTGGGAAGTGTTAATGTGTGATATAAATATTTTGCCTTCCAAAGCCACCATGTATACCAGAATGTCAAAAGCAATTAGTGTAATGTGCACACAGAAACACACGCACACAGGCACACATGTAGAACATGCTCTCACCGTGCAGGGAGTTCTGGGACACCTAGGCAAAGGAGATCCTCCATCCCCTTCACAACTCTATCGCTCCTTTAAGTGAGAAAACATCCTACATACAACAGCAAAAGAAGAACTTTTTCTGCCCAGCAGCTTAAAAATCATAATATATTTTTAACAAGGAATTTTCTGTTACATATTCAGATGAAAACATACATATATGTATATTGACTCATTTTCAGCATGAGAAATAGATAAGCTCCATGAATGGACTCCTCCTGTGAGGCACCCAGCTATCTCCCCTAAAAGTAGTTATGCACAGGAAGGAGGAAAACAAGCAAGACTGCAGGAGTAGGGACTTAGCTGACTAAGCATCAGCTCAACTGGTTACTGCTGTTCCCCAGAGGAGCTGAGGGTGGGTGACCAGCACAGCTAGCAGAAAGCAAACACTTGAAGAAACCCTTCACAGATCAATATCAAAGATGCAGTACCTTCTTGCTACAGCTACATACCATAGGACAAATGCAACAGCTGTAAGTGTCCAAACTGCTGTGCTAAGAACCACATCACCAAAAGCAAGTGACAGAAAATAAAACACATTTCTATTCAAGCACTGATATGCAACTGAGCTCAGTGTAGCCTTCGTACAGACACAGAAGAAAAAAGATATCATAGCTTGAGGTAAATATTAATAAAGTACAAATAAAAATAAGGTACAAATTTACAAGGAAAAGAAAATGAGGGGGGGGGAAAAAGCGCCTCCCTTGCTTTACCTCTATCATCCACTACTTGTGATACAACCTGAAAGTCAGTGGGCATAGAAAACCTCATGCAGAATATGACTTGCTCTTTGCTGGGCTGCACTGCTAGCAGGGACATGGCCTCTTCTATCATGCTGTGCATGCGATGCAGTGACTCGGTCTGGCCCAGGCCTGCTGGCTGTGCCATCTGGCACAGGGGCCAGGAGGCACGAGCAGGGCCATGCCTTAGAGCGGGCAGTTCTGATCATGCCAGTCCTTGTGCAGACCTTGTGCAGCCACAGACAGGAGGACAGAGATGCAGAGAAGCCATGTATACGAACGCCCGTGTTATTTTCAAAGGGCAGGTTTCTTACTGGCTGTAAGCAATTAGAGAACTCTGAAGAAACCCAGCTAATGAATTACACAGAAGGTGTGCTACTTTCCCTATTAACAAAACAGCTAAATAATCTAAAATAAATCTACTTTGTGTTTCCAGAGCTAAGCAATGCCTCTGCAATTACAAACCACAATACACAAATATTGAAGGAGTGATGGATGAGCTTGAATCCTTGCAGAGACTGCATTTAGCTATCTATAAAAAACCCCTTCCCATTAGCACTGTACATTAATGGTCACATAATCTTCAGCTGCTTTTTTCCTGTGAGTAGCATCATAAGCCTCCCCTGACTCCCAGTGCTACACTGTGAGTTACAGGCAAGCAGGAGTGAAGGATTGCACTGTGCTGGCATTAGATTTTGTCATTCTAATGTAGGAAATCAACCATTGTCTTACAGACAAAGAAAAAGACAATTTATTTTGTTTCAGAGCATTGATTATTTTATTACACTGAAATACAATTGCCCTTTTCACCCAGAGAATAATTGACAAATGCATTATTTCCCAATTCACTGCCACAAGGCTGGAATGAGTTAAAACATGCCTGTCATGAATCCTCTTAAGCCACTATGACCTGCTTGTTCTACTGCTACATCTCAAACGATTACCTTGTCCATTACCTAAATGGTAGATTATAAGCAAAATGCTGCTCATTTGCTCAGTAGCATATATCTTAAGCACAGCCATCAAGCAAAGCAGTGAGGCCTTTCTATCTGTTTATTGTGCCTGGCTTATGGGTGAGTCCACAGCAGTTCTCATTTGAGGACACATCTGGAACCTAACCCAAGAGACTCATCTTTCCCTAAGAGATGCACTTCAGCTATTATATTACTGGAGAATATTATTTAGAGATATATTTGAGACAAATTATTCTTTAAAAGAAAAAAATTTTCTTAGTCATCTGAAAGAAAGCTTTCTGTAGACTGCTGCAGACAGATACCAGCTTGCATTTTGCGTGCATCACTATTTGCATCTCTTCTGTTTGTACATTTTACGTGCAAGAAGCTGATAACATGTCAGTTTTCAGAAATATATATAAACACATCTGAGAACTCTCAACATCAGCAGCATTCTGTGCTATATCTTGACAATGGGATTGAGCAAAAAGTCTCCTCAGTGCATTTGTACCTGATCTACAAAAGCTGAATAAACTTTACAGCTTTTGGACTGACAAGTCACAGCAGCGAAGGCTAAAATGAATTATACCCTACCAGACTTCAAAGCACAGGTGTTTCCTCCTCCATACCAGGCAGGTCTTGCTAATGCATTCGCAGGGCACACACAGGTTTTTCCACTGGCCTGAAACAGGCTGCTGAAAACAGGACTCAGCACTGAATGGCGCAAGCAGAAAAGCACTCACGGTGCATTCTCACATGACCTGCCACAGCTTGTGGCAATCAGTGTGTGTACTAGAGCATGAGGGCTGAGTGAGATGTTTTATGTCAGCGTTGCTGCTGCTCAGCTCTGATACACTTCAGAGACGGGTAAGCAATGCCTCTGACCTGAGGCATCCTGAGAACTCCTATTAGGAATGTCACACGTTACAAAGCTACACCCAAGAAGAAAAGTAAGAAAAGGTGTTTTTTCCACAGTCTAAAGCTTATATTCCCAGTTTCAGACTAAGCTTCTGAGTATTTCCTCATACACCACCTACTCTGCTATGAAATAAGGATAATAGCAATCCCTATATGCCCAGGAACACGGCAGAGCCCCTTCCCCTGCAGCAAACTGCACGTTACCTGTGGAGTCGAAGATGATGGGCTGGCAGTTCCTGTTGGAATTCCAGTTACATTGCAGCACCTGGCCCCCTTCTACCACGTTGTGCTGGGAGGTGTTTGCTTTTGGAGCTCCCACCAGAAGAAATATCCTGCAGTAAAATGAAGAAATAAAAGTCTCAAAACTTCAGGCACAGACACTGCTACTTCATGACATGCTAACAGTTCATGGATTTGAATGGATAAAGCTTTTGCATTAAGTTTAAAGCCAAAACTACTTCAGATGTCAGAGGAATTGATACCGGGCTTGGCTCCCTCCTTTCCGCAAGCAAAAGCAGGCAAACTAATTTTGACTTAAGAGACAAAAGAAGATGAAGAATGACATATTCTGACTTGCTTGAAAGGATATTTAAATGAGATAAACACCTCTTATATTCTTTTCTCCCCCTTTCATAAAAATCTGCATTGACACCACAGAAGAAGTAGCCGCGTATTTCTGTAATTTAACAAAGAAATTGCCTGGCATCATTTCTAGTTAATGCTGTATGTAAGAGTAATTCACGGAAGTTGGTCAGCATTCAGTGATGTACACACAGAACAGCAGCGCTCAGGAGGCAGGGAGCGGTGAGTCAGCCCAGCATCAGCCAACCCTCTGCTAAAAGCAATCACCAAGCACCCAAGTCACTGACAGCCACAGACCTGCGCATTTATGAATCCCCACTGAAATTCATTACAAAATAATCATTTTCTTATTAAGATGGGTCACGGTACAAATGCCTGCTTATGGAAGTGAGGTCCACTCTGTGTAGGAGCTGCTATGGTACTGGGTTCATGCAAGTGTTAAAATGCAGAAGCTGCAGAGTAAGAAACAGATGGAATGCAAAGCCAGACCAAACAAGGCTATTAAGTTCTCCCAGGAACTTTCACAGCTCTCAGACACACGACTCATCAGCACTTTTCTTAAGAAGCCCATTTGAAGCAGAGGCAGTGACATACAGAAGAAGCAAAGATGTGGAACTAAATGCTTCCTTTTATCAGAATCTGCTCTGTTGCGCTGCTTTCATTTAGACTGTCAAAGAGAGAAGTCTTCCACTCGCAGGCAATGTTATCTCGTATCAGATAGGGCAGCTGGTTTTGAAATAGGCATAGCCAAATAAGCTGGTTGGAGAGTAAGTCTCCTAGTAGATAGATCCAAACTTTGGCAGACTTGTTCTGGTTGTGATTGTTATCCTTCAGACTTCATTTTAGTTCTGAGAACCTTACCAAAGCTCAACTCATATGAATACCAACAAATGAGGTTATTTTTCAACTCCACTTAATTTGCAGAACCTTCAAAATTCCCTGGTAAGGACTTGGTAGAAAAGCCAGACTTCTCACAATCCATTGGTTCCCCTAATGGCATTCACAGACTAGTTTTCAAGAGAAAGTATTTGAGATGCTTTAATGGACTTAAATGTTCTGTCTGGGCATAGCAGAAAGGTCTAAAAATAAACATTCCTAATGCCAAGTGAAGAAATACTTTAATTATTATAAATACAATCTATTAAACAAGTGGTAACTTGCCTCCCTCTTCACTCTTAGTTCGTTAGTTTTGAGAAGCCCTCCAAACTAAATATTTGAGTTAAAAAAGTAAGTCACACTCATTTTAACCTTTCTTTCATAACACAATCACCATGATGGACTATATTAAGGTGGTCACCAATTAAAGACTTGCAGTGGAACTCCACAAAGATTCAGTCACCTCTTTTCCCAAAGCAAAAGACAAAAACAAAAAACAAACATTTCTATAATCAGAAACCAAACCAGTAGACTTGAGCAATTTGTAACACTATTGGCAAATTATAAGACCAGTGACCATCCACAAAGAAGACTGTACTCCACATACTTTGGTAAAGAGAGCAACTGATGGAGATTTCTATTTCCATAAGCATACACCAGCTGTGCTGTGGCACTACTCATCCCCTACACAGGGCAGCAGCCACCCCAGCATAATGCTGCAGACAACACTGGGAATGCATTCGCAGCCTCTGCAGTCAGGTTTCCATAGCTGTGCTTAGAGGAATCCTCTCTTTCCAGTGCTTTGCCACGTGCTGATAAAGGCCATCAGGTTTTGAAATACACTCGTACATGGGAACGACAGACTACAAAAATTAGTGCTTCTGTGTATGCAAGGCCTCTTCTACTTTGTAAGTCACACCTTCAGCCACTTGGAACTGCACTTACATCCTGAGTCAGGAAACAAAAAGCACCTGGATAGAAGACTGCCACCAACTCACGGAGTACGTTTTTCATACAAGACTCCTCAACGTGCTTCACGCTGCTGCCTGCAGCTAAAAAACAACAGCTTGAGCTTTTGAGAGCTATTAACTCTGCCGTACCACTAGGCGATCCAAACAGCTTAATTGGACTTGAATTACTCGAACTCAGCTGCTTTTTAGCTCCGTCCTGTACCGAAGAGGTTCTAAGCACAGGTTCAGAGCAGCGTGTAAGGGGACTCACTCCTGCCAGGTGTGCGGGACTCAGCCCCCACCAAACGCCCACCACAGCCACCCAGGCTCAGCAAGGCCGAGCATCCCCTCCCGCAGCTCAGAGATCCGCGGCACCGCTGCCTGCGGCCGGAGGCATCGCGGACCCCGCGCACGGAGCGTCCCGGCCTGCTTCCCAGGGCACCGATCTGACTGCGCCGGGCCGGCTGCTGTAAAAGCTGCGGAGCGACTCGGTTTCACTAAGAGGTTTGATCTATAAGGCAGCAGGGGAAGCCGACCAGATACAAAGTAACTTCTACCCATAGCTAAAGTCACGGGGAAAGACTTCTCTCAAAGACACGGAGGAAGTCTCTCAGGCTATCTAAGATGCTCGCGTTTCAAGTTGCAAACAAACAAAGCCCCAGACTACGCTCACCCACCCGGGGCTCAACAGTTACCATCAAAGAAACGCGAAAAGGCAAAAGGGCGATTCCAACGGGAGAAGGAAGGAACGAGCCCGCCCCGCGCCGCTGCCGGCCGCTCGGCAGCCGCAGATGCCGCCTTAAAATAAAGGGAGGAACGCAAATAGAACATATTTGCTTTTAATAACGCGCTCCGCGGGATTAAGATAGAGGAGATGTCGCGACACAAGCGAGCGCAGACGGGACGGCTACCGGGCAGCGAAGCCGCGCGAAGATGCGCTCCAGACCCGCTCAGAGACCGTGGGGCCGAGGGACCGCACACTTACGAGGAGGGATCGGGAGCGAAGAAGTCCACGGCGAAGCCGAAATAGCTGCCCTCGGCGCCCGAGTACACGGCCGGCCGCTCGGCGTCCAAGTTGAAGGCGCGGGCGGCGGTCAGCGCGCAACCCAGCAGCAGCAGCGTCCGCAGCCCGGCCATGGCCCGCGGCGCTCCCGGCCCGGCCCCGCGCGGAGGAAAAGGGCGGCTCCGGCGCGGGAGCAGGAGCGGGAGCGGGCCGCTTCCTCTGCTCCGCGCCCAGTTCCCTTTTCTCGGCGGGACGGCAGGAAGGAGGAGCGGCATCATGTGGTGCCGGGGGCGGGCCCCGCTCCCGCCGCCGCCCGGCCCCTCCGCGGCCCGTTCCGGGCGGCTCGACGCGGCCTGCTCCGGCCGCCGTGCCGTGGGAAGGCGGCCCCGGACGCGGGTGGGGTCCGCGGAGCGAGGGACCGCCGGAGAAGGAAGCGCCGAAAGCCGCGCGGGGAGCCGCGCGCCAGCGACCCGAGAGTGGCCCGGGCGGCGGTGCTCGGGCCTGCGGACGGCGGGGCGGAGCCGGGCTGCGGAACGGCGGACAGCGGGGCTGCCGCTGCCCGTCCTGCTCCGGGAGGGACCGCTCCCGCGGGCGGCAGCCCGAGCCCTCCGAAGGACTGGGACCGCTCCCCGACGGCTCGGGGACCGCTGATGAGATATCAAACTCGGTTCGAGCGCGGAGTGTTGTGCTTTGCTTTATAGTTCCGCGGTAGGAATTGCGCGGCGTACGGGGCCGGCCGTTCGGAGTGAGCCCAGCTGGCAGCAATCCTCACCGAAAGACGGAAAAAATAATAAAGCGGTCAGAGCACGTGTAGGCAGCCTCTTACGGCCAGAATTCGTGCGACGGAGCTGCCCGTTAACCCACTGGACAGAAGAAACCATTTCGTAGCCAGCAAGCATTCCTGAGTTTTGATGTAATCGGCTTTGTTCAGAAGCATGATATTGAAACGTTGACCCAGGACTACTTAGCATGTTATTTTTTGCTTATCTTTCAAGGACTTATTGCTCTCAAAGGACCCAAGGACCTTCCCCTCTTCTCTTCCCCCTTACCCCCACGAAAAAAAAGAGGAAAAAAAAGGAAGTGTGCTTTGTCACCAATTGCACAATGAATCACATTTCAGAATTAGCATCAGCTTCCTGTTTATCTTGGAGGGCAAATTTACAGCACTGCACTGTTCTTGGTGATGCCTACTTAGTCTGTGTTCACTGATAGCCCATTGTGGTGCCACACACATGAAAGAAAAAAAGGGAAGGATTTCAGGGAGAAGAACTGAACATTGGGGTGATAATTGCAGTTTCTCACCTAATAGAGAAAGTTGCTTTAAGTAAAAACTTCAATTCCATTGTATATTGTTATGGTCAGATTTTATGAAAATACGCAAGCTAAATTAAGTAATCAGTTATGAAGTCTCACAGCCTGCCTGTCTGCAGTCTGACACACTGCAGCACAAGGACAGTAAGGGGCCTGTGCAGGTAAACACACGGCGCCACCAGAAAGAAGGACCTGGTCATTCTGTGTTGCTGTCAGTTGTTCTTACTGTCAAGTGATAATAATTTCTTGAGGAAATCAACGGAAAATCTGTAATTTTGCCAAAAACAGGAGAGTTCCTATGCCCAGGCTCGATGTTTGTTGCTGATTTTCCTTATCTTATCACCTCTCCATAGGTAAAATCATGGCGAAGAATAACTTTTACGATGTAGTGACTTGTCTCTCACAGCTGTTACACCATGGACCTGATCAAAGCAAAACTTCAGATAGGTAAATAAGTTTCTAAATCTTAGCAAATACTAAAAGCATAAAATAACAAAATACTCGATATGTCTGTAGATTTGGCAAAAGGAGGATTTATTTTCTCTGTTTGATCATATACCTTCTCATTACACAAACAGCAAGGGATATGATAAGATTAAGATGTATGATATGATTAAGAAAAGAGGGCTGCTTACTGAATGGTAAATTTTGTCTTCCCAAGAAGTGGCTGTGCAACACTGTTGTGTGCTGTCAGTGGATGGGTAAGTGAAAAGCCAGGGAGTAATTTAGCCGTGGCATACATCAGAGGTTGCTCATCCCCAAGGATACCTTCATCAGACGGTTTCCTCTCCTCAATAGGACAATTTCTTCACAAGTCTATCTGCCCGCTATCACTGGGGCAGGGAATGCTGCCCGCTCTTTCCTTGACTCAGCTCCCACACCATGATGAGTCACACACCAGGACGGGGCACTGCCTGGGCTGCTACATTGCATAGAACCCGTCCATCGCTCCGGGCAGCCCGCAGCTCTCCTGCCTCCACCTCAGCACGGAGAACAGAAACACAGGCCTGGGGTGCACTTCCAGTCAAAGCATATCTGACTAGAAATTAAAACAAGCATTTTCTATTGCCAAAAAAAGTGATTGAGGCTATAGCTGGCACTGAGTTATTACGTCTGACAGAATCACAGGCAAAGGAATGATGGCCCTAAACAGACTTTGTATCAGTCTAAAGCAGGAAACACCCTTCTAGTAAAAGTGTAATTTTTCCTTGCTAACTTGTTTAGCTCTCAGTATGATTAACAAGTAGATTAACAGCTAGTAGAACTGTGTTACGCAATGCAAACAAACAAATTATATGCTTCTATATTTGCTCTACCGACTACTTTTCAATCTGCAGTCTGCTAAGGCATATAGCAGTGGAAAGTAGCCACTAGGAAGTGGGCAGAACAGGGATAGCAAGCTGTGACCTTGGTAGCCTTTCCTTATACAACTGATCATTAACACAGTTGAGTAAGGCTTTGCAGGATGCCAGGCATATTTGGAGAACGCATTGCTTCTTTTTAATTTTTCCTTAGCTTTCAGCCTGTAGAATGAACAGAGAATTTCAGAATATGTTTTTTTTTTTATTGCAATCCTGTGTTTCCCTCTCGTAATGTTACAGTCATGAAAGAAACAGCCAAAATCCCGTAATTTAGGATAAGTTAAAAATATGCATTCCACAGTGGTTCTACTTAAAAGGCCCTGAAAAACATCCCATGCTAAGGGAAAAGCTTCAGCTTCTTAGCAGATCCAGCATTTTTCAGATCCAGCTCTACTAACATCTGGAGCACAGAACGGATTGCCACTGACTTGTTTGTTGATACTGTTGTTGGCTAGCAAAAGAGAGCTTCAACCATAAGAGAGCTCTTCTCTTTTGCCATCCAGGCATTCAGTTTCACAGAGCAGTTTAATTGCTCTGAGCAGACTTTAAGAAGTAACTCAGTCTCTAATACAGCAGTAAAAAGCAAGCTTGACTAAAAATGGTCTTATCTTATTACTTCAGTGTTATTTTTGTCTAACACTCATCAACTAATGCTTGTTTTCTTGAAATTCCATGAACACTGCAAACCACAAAAGCACCACTGGGTGAGGGGCGAGGCAAAACCACCACAGCTGTGTTGTAAGCTCAGGTTGTTGTGGTTCCACCAGGGCTCAACCAGTCCAGAAAAACCTCACTCATTGGTTACTAGAACCTCTCAGGCAGTTTCCTCTAGCAATAGGAGAGTGTCTATAAAAGCAGTTTCTAACTGGTGAACCACGCTCAGGGCAAAGTTTGAGATCTTCCAGTTGGAAAGGAAATGAGTCGGATCCAGGCTGTTTTCTGGTTTGCTCAGTTGTGATAGCTGCATTACCTCACTGTTAGTCAGCGTCTCCTCCATCCCCGCTGAGTGTTGCAGAATGCTGGTTACTCAACAGGAGTTTTTGTATGTTGGGATTTCAGATCACCCAGTTCAGAAGCAGCTCCACACAATCTACAAAGGGATTCACATCTCTTCTATCTGACAAAATCAGTGTTACAAATCCCGTCTTCCTCAGATTTTAGTTTACAGATCTTTAGATCCAACAAATCAACTTAACCTGATGTTGCTCAGTAAAAACCCCAAAGACTTGAGTATCTTTTTAAACAGCATTTATACTCTGGAGAAAAGGATCAAAAGGAAGAAATACAATAATATATGTAAATATGACCCCATTTCTTTTGGAGATAGGGAAAGCCTGGGAAGCCACCACACCAAACTCCAGCCAACAGGCGGGGCTGTGAAGCTGGGAAAACACATTTTGAAAATGTGTTGTGAAGTGTACATAGAAGACTTCAACCCACACTCAGCTGTTACTGGAAAGCAACTCTACCTGGCAGAAACACATTTGAAAGAGTTCTGCCTGGAGCAAGGAGAAATGGAATGCTTCTAACTTCTTTGTGCCTGATCTACAGGCACAAAGGATGGGGTCTTGTTTGTTTCAGTTTTCTTTCTTCTTCTTTTTTTTTTTCCCCTCCTTTATATTTTTATGGCTGTCTTTTAAAACTACTTTGGCTTTTCCTAGCCTGTGATGTCCAGGCGTTGGTTCCAATAGGCTCTGAGTTGGGTGCTACTGGCTGAAGAATTCCTGGAATGTAACTTCAGTTCCTCATTTCTACCAAAAGAAATTTGCCAGTTCATGTTGACAAGTTACTAGTGATAGAATATGCAGACAATTCTTTGCCTTAATAAAGAGCGTATTTTAAACTTCTCCCTTTTTTTTTTTTACCATCTATGGATTCTTGTTCCACTTCCTCCTGCCTCCCATACATACCAAGAATGTGCACCCATCTATTTATAGCACATATTCTGTCAAACTGTAGCTTTATGTTTCCTGTGTGGAGGACACTTTGTGGGTCACGTAACAGAATCGCTCTTCACAGAACACAGACTTTCTATAATGACAGGAAAAAGACTGGAGACCGATACAGGGCTGATATGACTAAACAACATGCAGTTCTGACACCCACTAGCTCTTTATTCGAGGAAAAAGTTCACAAAGGTGAGGTGTCTGCAGTTAAATAAACCCCTCTGCACCCCTTACAGCCTGTCCCTCCTCAATTTCGATTCATCTGACATAGCGATAATGCCTTTATTATGTAATTTCTGACCAACTTAACTCTTCTCTTGATTCCATAAACAAAACCTCAGAGTCCCACCACGAGAGCATGCTACTGGGCAGCACAGAGCTCCACAGCACACCCACTGAGCAGCCAAAGGCAGAAGGCAGCCAGCTGGAACACACAGCAGACACTCAGCCCATCAGCGCAGAGCAGAGGTCAGGCAGAAAACTCTCTGCAACAGCGTGTTCATGCTTGGAAGGGAGAGAAGACAACAGAAGAAAGGGGTGAAGAGAGAAGATCAAAGGTTTCTTGCTGAGAAATATGGCTATTACCCAATTCCTGTCTGAGATGTTAAGGAGGCATTCAGTTGCAGCCATGAAATGATTAAATAGAGGTCAGTTCATCTTGTTTTGTTGTAGGGTTTTTTTGGTTTTGTTTTTTTAATTTTTAAAGTCTACTCTTCCCTACCCAGTTAAACTACTTCAAATTTAAGTGTTTCCAAAGTTAGCAGAAATCTTCGTTTAAGAGCTTACATGGAATTTGGGTTATTGTGTAGGCACACTACAGCAGTATTTTACATTCAATCTTGTGTGCAGTGTTCAGAGTGCAGAAATGACAGCCTCAGTGTCGGGATGTAAAGCAAGGAATAAACCAGGAATGGAAGTGAAGTGCAAAGAGGACCAAACACTCTCAGGTCAGAGAACTATAAGGTTTTAGATAACTTTCTACAACTGCAAAACGTGCTCTACAAGCATATCATACACTGAAAATACAATTTCATTTTAACACAAGACCAAGGATGTACAACTGGTAGAATATATTTCTCTAATGCCTTATTGTACAAAGAATACCATTTTGTCTTGTGAACTTTTTACAGTAGTTTGCCCTGTGTCTTTGCGTGTGTCCTCATAGAAATCTAGGAATGTTTTAGAAGTTGTATACTTCATCTTCCACTATAGCTTGCTTTATTTTAAGAGTTCACCTTGACACTTTTCAAGTTGAATTTGGTTCAGTTTGGAAATATTTCTTTAGTTTCATGCCAGCCTTTCTCAAACCTGTGTCCAAATATATTGCACTGCTTGAATATTCTCAGCCACAGATGCCTGAAGTTTCTTTAACACAAATGAAATGCTGGTATATATGATCAAAAGAACTGATTATTTCAATAATGCGTTATGAAGGAGCCCGTTGTGTTCACATATTAGGACTATAGCATCATAAATGAATAAAACATCTTGGCCCTGTTGCTAACACCAGCAACAGCCACTCTCTGTGAAAAGACAGAACTTCTATTGAAAGGCAGAAACTGGAAGTGACAGAAAATAAGCCAAGGTCACTTCTAAGCCTCTAATACTACCAGGGGTGGGGGGAAGAGAAAGGTGATTTGCAGATATCACTGTGAAAAGCACTTAATGGGATCACAACTACATAAAGCACATCCGGCACATTACTAGGAACAAAGACCATTTGCTCCACTAAAGATTCTGCTGATTAAGGCCCATTCATAGAAAAGTCTCATGCACTACTGGGGAGGTGAAGTTGCTAATTTTGTACACAGGTTTTTCTAGCACAGAAATGCAGTAAAAAATGGTATCCTTCAAACTGAAATACTTATTTTCAGTATCACTTCCTCTTCTTGGCACCAAGTCAAAGCTGAGGAAGACATAAGATGTTGCTTCTGCTAAGTGTTTTCCCTGGAGATCAAATACTTTAAGTTAGGAGACACGTTCCAAACAAAGGGTGTCAGCTGCTTACAGAGCTTAGGCTGCTTGCTAAAAGATGCTGGAAATGTAAAGGGATTCAGAGGGGAGAAAAGGAAGAAACACGATTGAAAAAAAAGAAAGCCATTGAGAGGCTCGTATGCACACACATACACGAGATAAACCTGCATTTGAAACAATGAGATTGCTCATCTTACAGCTGTAATAAAAAGTGAGGGAAAGGAAGGTCTAACCTTGTAGGAATGTCTGACTGAAATAAAAAAAATCTGAAGTTCCATTAAGCTATCCCAAAGAAGCACATGAATATTAGCAGTTTATGAACTGTGCCATTATTTACTTGCAAAATAATTAAGCCTGCAAAAAATTAACACTTGCTAAACTTATTCTATTTGGCTAATTGTTTTTTTTTTAAAGGGGCATTCACTTGGCAACATAAATAGCAATCAGCCATCAGAACGTCCTACACAAATTTTTTCAACACTTATTTCACACATCTGACTAAAGAATTGTGAAAGTACTCAGAAATGAGTGTATTTTATACGTGCAAGTTCTTTTTATGCAATCTGTTTGTGAAATGAACACAATGGGATCTATGAGAATAAGGCATTGCCAAGGAGAACATCACTGCTCCATCAAATGTTAATCGAATTCCCCTTTGATAAAATACAGCTGAGAAATGTCATCCAGTAAGAAATGATCTACTAAATGCTTGCAGTGGAAATGCTGTGATGGAATAGTTAAGGTCAACCTTCACATTTAATTTTCCTTCTTTTTTTTTTTTTCCCAGGCATTTACCAGCCATGTGTATTTCAAGTAGGAAGCTTTCTGAGTAACATCGAGGAGGAGGTAAGTTATTTTTTCAATTATACAGCCCTCAGAAGTCCTATGAGAATTTTCAATTAAAGGTGTCCTCTTGTGACTGAAAAGGATTTTTGTCTTTCAAGCTTTAAAGTCAACAAGTATTCCACTTCCTTAACAGCAAACTGCTGTTTGAAACTGCTATGAAAAAATATGGGCTCTATGCAGATGTTCCCTGCACAGAAACAGAATGAAGGCGGAATGCTACAAGCAGCATTTTTTCACCAGGAGATATGAAAGCCCCATAGCTACGCCACAGTTTTCACACAGGTTTTTTTTTCCACTTAAGTTTGGGGGCAGAGATGAGGCAAACAGCAGAGCAGGCCGTGTGCACTGCACAGAATGAGTGAAGCTACTCAGAAATGTTTCCTCCCTGGCCTATGCGTCTGCATAGCCTGACTTGAATCCTCTGGATAGAGCCTTCCCACAGTAGTAGGATGACTGGTTTTTTGACCCCTAAAAACACACAGGTGAAGACACTGCTATCTCAGGATTTCTCATTTTTCTATTCACATCAGAGGAATTATAAGACAAATGCATCTGTAGAAACAGCTCGTGGGGAGGTAACATTCAGGTGGAGTTCATTTTAATCAGCTGTTCTTTTCCACAATTTACCTTCAGTAAGGTCTTAGCACCCATTTCTAATTGAGCATTTAATGACTGAAACTCTATTAGCTGCTAATTTAGGCTTTCACTCATGAAAGCATTTTTCAACTAGTTACATTTAAGCTTATCTTCAAGCAAAAGGAATAAGCAGCAGCATAATGCTAACAATCCTCAGAAGCATGCCTGAGTGCTACATGAACCTTCTTGGGAAGCACCCATCCTGCTTTTGTGTTTAGAGATCTCTACAGAGCCAAGAGGCCAAAGCAAGAGCAAGCAGAGTCTGTAGAAATGCTAGAATCAATTAAGCCAAATCAGAGGGGCAGCAAACTATTGCTTCATGACCACAGAGAGTTAAGCCAAAACTTAATGCCCAAGAGAACTGTTTTTTTTTTTTCTATTAAGTTATAGTTATTCAATTTATGTAAATGCTATGCAACATAACTATATCCTACTATTTAGTTTAAACATACACAGCAGGGTATGCACTGCACTGAGCCCTTTATACTGAACTCAAAAAGGGCACATCCTGCTCATTTATTTTTACATTCTTTCAGCTGAAATGAGCTAACCTGCAAAGTACAAATAATTTAAGAACATGGTTGCAATTGTGAAGATGTAACACATTTACATCAATGAAACAGACAAGATGACAGAAATCAGTATTACACGCTGCATATTGGTCTCCAGAACAAAATATAGCCATTTCAATCCTTAATAATTATTTTATTCCCATTTAAAATATACAACTTTGAAAAATTAGGCATCATACATTCAAATTTGAATTGCATTCTTAAGTGTCCTGAAATCCAGAGAGCCTATTTCTGGTCAGTATAATACAATAATCTGTCAACACTCTTCGTTTATGGCCACAAGAGAAAACTGCAGGAATAAACATTTATTATCTGATACTGCAGCTTGTCTTTAAACACTTACATTTAGGAGTCCATTCCAGTAGACCTTTTTTCCCCAAACATTGTTTTCTTGTTTCTATAAGAGAAAAAAAATTCCACAAAGATCCCAAAAAGGGCAAAAAAGGTTGAAGTCAGCTATTTTAGAAATAGCATTAAAGATACAAGAGTTGACTCAGCAGTGTCAGAAATAACCATTAAAGCTCGTATTACCACTCAACAGTGGTTCAAGTAAGCTTGCTAACAATGCCATGAAGCTTAACAAACTTGAAGTAGTAACTTGAAAACTTCAGAAAAAACAGCCATATAAACGGTACCCCTTAGTACAGCAGTACTGTTACAGATACTTAGTAGTGTGGCAATGAGCCCCCTTGAGAAAGCACCTCTACAGACATCATCATGGTAAGGTTTTGATAAATTTTGGAAGGGCAACTTGACTTCACCGAAACCTGACAGCTGCCCCCTGCAGGGACACAACAGCATCCACAGCTCTGCCTTCAGCCAAATGTTATTACTGCACAATTCAGAGAATACCCAAGACATTATAGGCATTTTTTAGACCCTAACATCCCTGCTCCACAGAGCTCAAAGCCTTAGCTAACATATAAACAGAGCAGGGAAAGCATGAGACTCAATCCAAAACGGGCACTGAATAGCTTGGGTTAAATCTGTTGATGGATGGGTGGGAGATGACAACAGGAGGGGAAGTCAGCTGCTCAATTCTACAAACTGCGTGAAGAGTAGAAAAAATCCAACTGCCATTAACCCTAACGTAATTTAAGCCAACATCAATCACTTCATGAAGACTGGAGAGAAAGCATCCATCATTGTATCAGAAAATCATGTTATTATCCATTTGCTGTCATATCTTAACAGAGAAAAAGCAACACAGGGCTTTTTAAGTTGGTAGTTTTTATTTACAGTTTTGCTGGCAAAAGGCGGTGGGAAAATTTGGAAGTTTTTCAACAGAGGGCACCATATTGTACTGTTGATATATCAGTTCACTGTCTGTATCCTCAGTATCCAGCTGATCAAATAAAGCTAATCAACATGTCAAGAAGCGTGATCTGCATCAGCTCCTCTAGAGTGCTCTGCCTAAAAGCAAGTCAGGCAGTTTCTAAATCAACACAATCACTATTGCAAATGCAGTTCTGGTCAGGAACGTTCACTTTTATTTCGTACTGCAGCTGGTATCAACTTCTCACTTACACCTGCATACTGGCAAAGCAGTTACACTTCCTACTTTTAGGTGAAACTTATGATCTCATTCTCTGCAAATTCAGCTGTCAGGTAATTATGAACTACTCTGAGTTTCTTACTGTGATCATAGCAAGTTTGGAGATGAGACAGAAGTAAAATATTCCTGGTATATGATGTGCCCATCAGAATCAGCCGGGTAACCATAAACATCCTGTTTAAGAATTCTATTCAAGAAGGAGGAAAAGTGTAGTCATTTTGCACTTTATCACATGGACTTCAATTCCAATGAGCTTTTTAATTCATTCTTCTAAATCAAGAGTGTTTAGTTCTTCTTCTAGTTCATCCAAGTCCTCGCCAGTAAAAAGATTTTCATCAACGGGCACTGCATCAATGACTCCATTTTCTAACTCCTCATCGCCATCACGACCTTCTTCTAAATCATTTTGTTCACTGCTGTTTATCTCACCTCCAGAAGCTTCACTTAGTTTATTATCTGAAAATACAGTTTTTTACACATTTTAGTGTCACACATTTCTTAATCACTAGTTCACAATCATTCCAGACAAGCTCTGAAGTCTTTCAACCAGTCACTTAATGTTTTCAATTTCTGTATCTGAGCTTATATAGACTAAACAGCACATGCCCAATTAACATGCAAGGTTGGATCATTAGTTATTAGAGCAGGCTGAAAACAGTAATTCGCACATCTAACCCCTCAACTCCTATTTTTATAACAGGATCAGGCTTAATGTTTTGCTCCTATTCAACATCTGCACTTCAAAGACTCGGGTTAACTTGGAAGACTGGAGTTTGCATTTGACAACTGCAGCAAAATGAAGTGTTAGCTTGTAGAAATTAGAAGTTAATCTATGCAAGCTGGAAAAATATTATACACTACTTTTTATTTAGAAGTTGAACTCAAGAAAAATAAGAAGTGCACACAGATCTACTAGAATCACTGCCTCCAGTAAGTACAATGATCATGATAGTCATTTTGCTTCTGCTCTTTAAAAAACAAACAAACGAACAAATATTGCTTTTTGGAATATCAAGAACACATTTCTGCTTGCTTTTTTGGAAGCAAGTTTTCAAAAAATGAACTTAACAATTCATTCCCTTAAAAGGGATGCCTACATAATAAACTTACCATCTTTTTCTGTTGAAGCGTATGTGCTGAATCGCTCAGGACTAGCCACTGTAATGCCAGTTTCATCTACAGCCTTTGGGACATACAGACTCAGGTCTATATCATTTACACACACAGGGTCTTCCACCTGAAAAGTACACCAGTATTTTCCATATGAATCACTCTTCTACACAGATTATAATTTCTGCAGAACTTCTACAGACCTTTTCCATCCTCCTTTTGACATCGTAACGGGGAAAACATTCCGTATTAGCACGGAATTAAGTACTTGAAATTTTAATTGTACCTTAAGAGCTCTCAATTTAGGAGCAAGCCTTGCAAAAAACAATGTCTTCAATTTCCAATGTAACTCAAAATATTATTTTGGTTAGCTTTTTTTCCCCCTTTTTTTTTTTTCTTACCTCATCATCTTCTCCCGTTCCTTGAGTGTAGCGAGTGTCATCTGCTTCTTCATCATCGGCATCAACCAGCTCTGGTCGGAACTCAAATACTTCCCGTCCACTGATCTGTTAGCAGAGGAAGCAATTAATTTATAATTTCACAGAATTTATAAGGTTGTTCAATAAAGAAAAAAAAAAGCAACAATTCTAGTTTTTCTAAAAAAGCAGTCAGCTTCTATTTACTCTTCACATTAGGAATGAAAGTATAGAACGTACCACCAACGCCTTGCCGGCTTTAAAATCTGCTTTCCTCCTTTCCATATCTTGCTCTGCCTTATCAATTTTTTCTTGTCTTTTTCTTCTCTTCCATGCAATAAAACACTCTAATGTGATTTTGGTAACGTTTGGTCCTAAGGCAGCACGCTGTCAAGTAGAAAGACTGATTAATGCTAGACATTGTTTCCAAAAGCAAACCCTAGGGATAACAAATTAAGGATACGTAATTACTCTTTTCTAGAAACTAATTGAAAACATTTATTTCTAATTGCTTCTGCACTCTCACCGCTGTTAAACATGCTTCATCAACTTAAAGTGAGATTCCACATCAGTTTTCCAGTTGAGACAAATCAACACTTAAGTGAACGTGGAAAATGGAGGAAGAAGCCTGTGGTATTAGTTTAAGTTGCTTTCCATCTGGCACTGCCAGGGAAAGGTGTCAGCAGAGCTGCAGTATAACATCTTTGGGAGGGCCCTTTCTTCATGCTGATTCCTCTTAACAGAACCATACAGTAATGAATGGCAGAATTAAGCAAGAACTAAGGCAATGGTGAATTTGAGCTGAGGAAGAAACAGTTGTAAGAGTTAAAAGGACAAACAGCAGTAAGAAACAGAAGCCTCCTAAAACAGGATTATCCATCTTACCCTAACAGTAAGTATCCAGCTATACTTTTAGAAACTCCCTCAGCTGATTGAGAGGAAGAAAACTAGCTAAACATAAACTAGCTAAACAAAAAACACGAATTACTATGCATTCCACAGTCCAGCTTATATGGATATACAACCATTCAATGCTTTTCAATAATTCACTAAGATGTTATTGACAGTTTTCCTCCTCTGCAGTATAATGAAAACAAACACCACCAAGAGGTACCTAATTGAAACTTTACCTCTTTTTCTATTAGATCTTCTAAGGAAATTTCATCTTGCTTTTCTTCCTTCTTTTTGTCTTTTTTTAGTACAAAACCTGGAGGAAGAGCATGGCGATACATGCAATTGTCTCCGCCGCCTGGACAGACCCAAAACCATCCGTATTTGTTGTTTTCAATAGCATCAAGAAAATATTTGCAGACCTGCATAAAACAACAGTTGTTGGTCCTGTATTCTCATCCCCAGTAATTTACACTAGCACAGCTTCTACATGCCAAAAGTACAGTAATTCAAAGCCAGCTGTGGTCAAAAGTGAATAAACGTGCCATGCACTCCATTACAAAAAGTAGATATAAAAAGAGCAACTAACTATTTAAAACCTCAAGTACTCAACAGCTTTTGCCCTTAATATAATCTCAACTTAGATAGGCTGACTTGAAAGACTAGTGACTGTACTACAGTAAACCCAGCAGCACATGTAAAAGCATGCTAAGGGTTTATGTTTGGTCATGAAAATCGAGTGTACTTTTAATCACAATAAACAATTTCAGATGTTTCACATTCCAACTCATGATCCTGACATAAATATATCATTCTGAAACTTCTGACAAGCAATTTGTAACACCTAGTCATACCTAAGTTTAATTCTGGCAAGTATCAATAGCCTATTTGGGACTGTGAACAAGGCATAGTCGTCCTGAAGGATCAAAAAAAATAAAGAGCACAAAGGATTAAGATACAGCATTTAGTGTACAAACTAATTTCTTAGCAGCCAGGTGTCACAAAGTCAAAACGACTCAGTCAGCCTGTCACTGCTGCTAAACAACAAAAACTACAGTTCAATGAAAACAGAGAAGACGTACTATTTGAGTTTTGGGTTTTTTCTTTTCCGCTTCACCATGCTTCTTGTTCACCACCTCTTCTAGTTTCTTTTCATCCCAGTTATCCATCGTGTCTAGAAGACAACAGAAGTTTGCACAAACATTCCAAATCCTAAACAATATTCTTTTTCCCCTAATTAACAGCAGTAACATGCAGTTCTTACGTTTTAGTTAACCTATGGAAAAAAAACCAACCCAATTCAGTCTTCTGTAATAAAACACAATCTCAGAACTGCAGGGGTTGGAAGAAACCTCGAGAGATCCTCGAGCCCAATACCTCTGCAAAGCAGTCCCCCACAGCAGGCTGCACACCTAGGCGTTCAGGCAGGTCTTGAACGTCTCCAGAGAAGGAGACCCCACAGCCTCTCTGGGCAGCCTGTTCCAGTGCTCTGTTACCCTCACCATGAGTAAGTTCCCTTATATATTGGTGCAGAACTTCCTATGCTTACGTTTACAGCCGTTTCCCCTTGTCCTGTCCCCACAGACTTCTGAAAAGATGCAGACGTGTCTTTTTGACTCCCACACTTAAGGTATTTTTAAACATGAAAGAGATCCCCTCTCAGTCTTCTTTTCTCAAGGCTGAACAGATACAGGTTGCTCAGCCTTCCCTCATCAGAAAGGTGTTCCAGGCCCTTTATCATCTTCATGGCCCTTCGCTGGACTCTTTCCAGGAGATCCCTGGCTTTCCTCTATCAGGGAGCCCAGAACTGGATACAGTACTCCAGTTGTAGTTTGATCAGGGCACGGTGAGGGGGACGATCATCTTCCCTGACCTACTGGCCACGCACCTTTTAAAGAACCTCAGGATCCCATTGGCCTTCTTGGCCAACAAGGCGCCCTGCTGGCTCACGGTCAACCTGTCACCCACCAGGACCCTCAGATCCTCCAGCAGGTCATACCCCAACCTGTACTGATACCTGCAGTTATTCCTTCGCAGGTGCAAAATACTACACTTGCTTTCGGTAAATCTCAGTGTTCTTCCTTTGTTATACAGCTCACAAGACATCCTCCTCAAAAATTCGATAAGCTTTTATCTGTACATATGTGAAATGTATTTTCAGGTAAAGACTAAGAAATGTGACTCTACTTATACACCTTAAGCTTCTTCATAATGTAAAAATGATGACGAAGAACAAATCCTGTATGACCTGCTATTCGTATGACACAAAACTTCACACATAGCAGAACTCACAAACCCCCATCCAAGATCACTTAGTGATACTTTTTCAAATAAGGACTACAGAATACTTGTGAGCCAGCTTTTAAGAGCAGCAATCAAGCTTCATTAACATTTTGAACACAGCAATATGGGTTGCTATCACTGTGACCAGGGTCCTTGGAATCATACAAAAGCAACTTGCTTAACTTCAAAATGCAACTGCAGAATCAGAAGATGATTTATGGAATGTTTTCTAGAAGCAGTGTACCTTTTTCGAGGTCTTCATCTCTTGCATCAATGTAGACACTTCGTTTTTCACACTTCCTTTCCAAGGACAAATCATGAGAAAACTTGCACTTGTCCCCTTTAGTGCACTGCCCTTGCTTGAAGAAAGCACAAACTACAGATTTGGGATCAGCACCTGAGTGAAGAAAGTTTTTCTATTTTAATAACATCTGTAAGCAAAATACTAGAACACAACAGAAGTTGTATCTTGAAAGTTTAAAGAACATTGTCTAAGATCTTACCATATTTAGGACCTGCACAGAATGAAAAGGTGTTTTAAAAAAATAAGTTATTTAATGAAAAGTTCACCCCAACAGCCCTTTCTTCACTTCAAGTAGATACACTGTGTTCTGAAAGCATCTTATTTAGTTTGTATAGCAGGATATTTATATTAACCATGAATGAAGATGTGACTATAGGAAGTATGGGTAGCAGTGTGCCTGAGAAGAATGTGCTCATGTAACGCATAACAAATCATTCCACACAAGTTCTTCCCTATATAGTAAGCCATTTTTGGTTCTGATATGTGGTAAAGCATCTTTCGAATGTCAATCTTTCTTTAATATAATCAGAAATATGCTAGAACAAGTTTTATTAACCTCGCCTGTACTCATTCAATAATACTGAGACGGCTGTTTCTAGCCTTAAAAATAAGCCAGTGCTGCTAAAATGGGAAGTACCCAATCACTAACTATGGTTTTCAAGTAAATATCACAGCAACAAATTGTTTGATCATCAGGAGGCAAAAGAAGAAATGAAGAGGGGTTTAAATTTATCTACTAGATGTAACAGATGAAGTTCTCAAGTACTAACGTATGATTTTAAGCTTCAGTTTCTCACTCACTCATTTCAAGCTTGGTTCCAGTCACCAGGGACTAGATTATGCTCAGCAGCAGCTGTTTAAGACCTTAAATAAAGAACTAGTTTATCAGCAACTGAACCCCTACAAGAACATCAGGTAACATAGTTGAACTTGCTGGCAAGCTCAGCAGAAAGACAAAGTTTTAATTAGGATAATGTTGGTGTTTTGCAATACCTCTCATTCAATAGCTACCACTACGGATGAAAATAAAGAACCTCGCCTTTATTGCTGCTAAATGACACAACGACAAAACATCAAGTTCACTTCAAAACCCACAAAAAAACCCCCACACTTCTTTGGTAAACAACTCTTGTGCCAGAAGCACAATACAGCACACAGTAACTAACATACAGTCCATTCCTGAAATACTGGTGTTTTTTTCTTCCCTATGGCAAACAACTGTGGAGTCTTCTAGCATTATCAAGCACTTAGCAATTAATTTGCAATTTACAATCACTGCAATACTAGCTCGCTCCGTAACCCATCTCAGCTCGGACTACATTTTTGAAACCAACATCCTACTGTTAACTATGAGAAAGAGCAGAAGTCATTGACAAAGTTCTGCTCTTTTGATGTGCATTAACGTTTTCTGTGATCACAATGATTAGCTCATTACCTGTAACATCTGCCCCGTCCTTGGACGTGTTCAAGGCCAGGTTGGACGGGGTCCTGGGCAACCTGATCTGAATGTGTGTGTTTGGTGGCCCTGCTAGGCAGGGAGTTGGAACTACATGATCCTTGAGGTCCCTTCCAACCCGGGTGATTCTGTGATTCTGTGTGATCTGCATGCTCATCCTTCCATGGGGACATAGGCCACTTTAAACAAGTGTCATTACAGAAAAACAGGCCATCCACCCAGAAATACCTCAGTACAGCAAAGTATTTCTAAATGTTTTTCCTGAGACAGACATATGAGCAGTAGAACAAAACAGAAGTTTCAGGCATTCATACCTTTGCTAATCTTCTGTGCAGCAACCACAGGCTTGAAGAGTTCATTTAGTTCTTGTAGTTCTTTTTTCTTATCTTCTTTTTTTAATTTCTTTTCACTTTCTGTTTGGGCAGCCTGCAACGACGCCAAATTTGCTATTAGTAACAGAAAATCATAATGACACTTCTCACTTATAAGAACCTTACCTTAATACATAAAATCATTCTGAATGAGTGGGGGGGAGAGGCATGAGCTGGGAGCGTACGATTTCTAAGTTCCTCCAAATCCCTGCCTTTGCAAATGCCATCTAGTGGCACTGACAATTTCAGACAGAAGAGATTTGAATTAGAATTTGTCAGAGATGTGAGATGTTGTTACTCCTGCACCACCTTCACAGGCTAGGAAATGAAGTTTGAGACTGAGGAAATGCTAGTTGTTCTTTTGTGATGCTTCAGCAGGGCAACCACTCAAACCAGGTAGTTCAATATGTGCCAAAAGCTTCTCTTGAATCACCCACACCCTGCTTTGCTTTCTTGTCAGGCATACCAACAGCGCTCCCGAGTTATCTGTGTGTAGAAGCAGGGAAATGTTTTTGGAACATTACTTGCTTGAATTGATATCAACACAGCAATGTTTCAATGCCAACTAGTAGGTTATAAAACAAGAACATTTTTCTTAGTTTTCATAGGCACAAGGAGGGAAGACTAAGGGACAGGCTCACCTAGGAAAAGTTGGTATAAAAGACAAAAATGGCACCCCTGCCTCAGCCTTTTTTGGAGAAGCCAGGAAAGGCCTATATCTAGCACGAGACTGGTAGAGAAGGGTAAAGATAGATGAAAAAGGTCATGAGAGAAACACAACATGCTTAGATGACTTGACTTTTATCCTTAAGAGAAGCCAGTGGGACTTTTAACAAATATTTCAGACACATTATTGGCAATACTCAATCGGACTTCATAAAAGAGCTTAGTTGCCAAGCTGTTTTACACTGGAATTGATAACAGAACACCCTGCTTTTATACAGCAATTCCCAAACTCTATTTTACCAAGTATGCAGACCCTAACATGGCAACTACAAAAAAACAACAACAAAAAAAAAGTGACCTGATTTTTAACAACAACAGATGTATTTTACGCTTCTGTTTCACTTCAAGATTCCAAAAACAAAAACAGTTTGATTTGCTTTTGTTTTCTTCAGTGTTGATAGCATTTCCATTTTTCCTAAGGACACAGCAGTACTTGCTTTAAGGTATTGTTAAGTTCTCCAGGACAATCCTAAATGAAAACTGCTTTTACAAGGTAAGATAGGTGCCATCAGGTGTGGAATGAGGTTCCGAACACCATCAGTTGAGTGTTTGAAAAAAATATTTTTTTATCATGCAGTAGTATTGCTGTCCATGCTACAGATCCAGGGACTTCACACACCTTTCAGAAGGACTGCCTGAGTAGCATCAAC